ATTTGAGCCTGATTTTGATGTTGATTTTGATTGATTTGATAATTATCCATCCTGATTAACCACTGGCCTACTATGATCAACAATTTGGATGGTAAATCTAACAAAGCATAATTTCTAATGTTAAGATTGTGAACTAATTGCAAAATATGACGATTTGGGTGACTAACTTCAAATATGACTCTGCCATTGATGGTCTTATTCGTTCTTGACATGGTTAAAAATCCCTTTTGTCAAATAAAGGGACCTATTTTTGGCTATAGTGGTTTACCATGTTCTTCAAAGCTTCAAAGAGTTCTGAAGAACCTTCAGGCCAAGCATTATTTGGTCAGTTGATGTTAATCCTTTAGTAGTGAAATATTTATGCTAGATTTGCGTCATTGCCATTCAAAAATCACATCACCTTTTTGTCAATAGCTTTAACATGATTCTTGGTGGTTTCTTGAAACAAGCAAGTCCTTTTTTAGGGTTAGATCATGTGATTTTTCAGATTCACTTGAAAAAAATGTTAGCAAACTTGAACATATTAGCCCTCCTAGAGTTAGGATTGGTTTTGAATTTCGAAATATTTTATTATGATAATTAAGCAAACACTAATTCTCTGAACCATATTGGTGGATTCATGTTGTTTTGTTCTAGCTAGTTCTGTTGATTATTTCAGAAGAGTACTGTACACGAACCTAATCATGGCTGCTAAGAAGTCTGTTAGATTACAATCGGATACTCTTGTTTGATTGATTCAAGTTAAGGTAATTGATTTGTAGCCTTAGAACAACTAAGTAGCCACAACGAAGTAGTTTTGGTTGGAGGATCTTGTCTGGGTATATGAAACGTTCAAAGTCAATATATGAAAGTTGTAATTGAAAGTACCCTAGTGCCACTAGGAAAGAACCCTAGAGGGGGGTGAATAGGGTTTATGCTAATCTAATCTAATTTATGCCAATTTAAAACTTATTAACAAATTATCCTAGCAAATAAGATATGAACAATATATATGCAAGGATAATAAACCAAGGGCAATATAAACACAAACAAGATAGTGGGAATATGAACAATAAGCAATAAACAAAGACGATATAAGATATGAACACAAAAATAAGTGCGCCAATACAATCACAAACAAACAATATGATCACGGAGTTCAGTCCCCATGACCTACGTCTCCACTCCTCACCTCGAGGAGATCTTCACTATCACAACCGGGTTTTCTACGCTTACCCGAATAACGTTTACACCTCACACTCGGTTTTCTAGTTCACCGAAAACTTTACAATCACTCACAATGTAAACACACTAACTACCACCTCAAGTGTTGGTCTTTAGCCCGTCTCTCACCACACACTCCTCTTGGTGTACTAGTGTAATACAAAGTGAACCTCACAATAATAGCTCACTAATTAAATGATTGTTCTCTAAACAATGTGAGAACTCAATTAAGCACAACTCAAAGTTACAATCTCTCACAACCCTAATTATATTATGTATGAAATACTATAAGCTCAAGTGGGTGTATCTAACAATGAGATTCAATAAATCAAAATCAAACTAAACTCAAATAAAATTCTAGCTTATGAAAATTATGAACAAAACAATAAATAGCTAGAAATAGAGCAAACTAAACTCAAATAAAATTCTAGCTTATGAAAATTATGAACAAAACAATAAATAGCTAGAAATAGAGTTTAGAAAAACTTCTCTATAGTATGAACAAAACAATAAATAGCTAGAAATAGAGTTTAGAAAAACTTCTCTATAGATCAAGAGAGAGAGATAAGTTGAAGCTCAAACACCAAAGGATGATCTCTTCTTCCTCTTGTGAAAATATCTTCACAAACTTGAAACAAACACTAAACAAACTTTAAACACCTTTTAAACTTGTTTAAAAATTTTCTTAATTGCTTCAGAATGTTAGAGGGCAAGAGGTATATATAGGCTCATGAAACAAACCAAAAAACCAGTAAAAAACCCAAGAAAAATCATAAAAAGATAAAATCTGAAAAACTAGCCGTTATAGGCTGAAAAAAGGTCATCAGTCGACTGACTACAGTGCGTCGGTCGACTGATAAAGTCGACAGTTCCAAATTTGACATATTTTGGAATTTTGCATATCTGATTTTATAAAATTAATTAAAAATAGTAAATCAACTCCAAAAATCATGAAATTTTGAGGGACGTTTCTAAACATGTAGATGAACATGTTAGAGAAAGGATTTCACGAATTTCACTTCCTATTTGAGAGAAATAAATTATTTAGTAAACTGGTTAAAAACTAAAAATCTGGAAATAGTACAAAACTAGTCGTTATGAGCTTATCAGTCGACCGATGACTCATCAGTCGACTGATCAGTTGACTGAAAAGAAACAGAGGTTTTTTGATGATTCCAGGCATTTTCATCAGCAATGTTTTAAATATCGGTTATCGGGGATTTATCGGACGGCCAAAATCCTTATCGGATAGCGGAAATCGGGGATATATCGGGGATAAGTAGTATTTATCGGAGTGATATACTAAATGATGTGTATATATAATATACCAATTAAAAAATGTAATCTAATCATGCTTAATGAAATATAAACATACCAAAATGTAAATCATCATGTTTAGAATCATTAACTAACTGTAGAAAGCGAAACTTGCATCATAGCCTTGAAAAAATATAATGTTAGTCCAAATTGGCCGATAATCCCGATAATCCCGATAAAAAAGTCTTACTTATCGGCCGATAAGTGCCGATAACGCCGATAAATCGCCGATAAACCTAGAAAAACGATAACCGATTAAAAATCCAATTTATCCTAGCGGAGAGCTCCCAAATCCGATAACTCGGTCGATAATATCGATTATCGGCCGATATTTAAAACAGTGTTCATCAGTCGACTGATAAATTCCATCAGTCGACTGATAACACTGTATCAGCTTGATGTTACGAAAAAATCTGATTTTTGAAGTGCCTTTAAAAATAGCAAATAAATTTTAAAAAATGTAAAACTTTAGAAAATCATTGTAAACGTGTAAATGAACATGTTACAAAAAGAATTTTTGGGATTTCACTTCTCAATAGTGAAAACTCATTATTTTTTAAATATGTCCAAAAACATGAAAACTAAACATACATGTTTTTATCATTTGCCATAAACACAATATTGAAACTTTGTGAAATGTTTTTATAGACTTGATAAATTATGTATAAAGTGACGTTGAAGTCTATAAACTAATAAAATAATATTTTATCAAAAACACCTATATTTTTATAAAATCAACAAATACGTGTGTGTGAATAATATGAGCTTAAAGTATTAACACACAAGTATAAACCTATACTACAAACGCTATAAGCTATATACCCAAGCTTGATGGTCTTCAATATAGCTCAATTTGGTAAACTTGCGGATGAAGCTTGAATTTGGATATTGACTTGAATTGCATTGCTTCACTCCACTATTTCCGTTAACCTCCATTTGATATGATCGTTATGGCGCAATTCCATCCAACCTCCAATATGTTGTTTGCCTAGAATAAATGCAAAACACAAACACTAGACAAACAACATTAGTTGTAAATTGTTTGTTAATCATCATCAAAATAAAAGGACCCAACAGTAATCTCAATAGTCTTAGGGTACATTTGATGTTCCTTTTGCTTATAGACAAGTCTTCCTTTGTTAGCTAATATTGTATTGAGACCAATGTTTTAAAAATAGGCTGATTTTATCAATTTATCGCCGATATAGGGTTTCTTCCATGACTGATATGATTTTTTGCAAAAGTTTATTACATATCATTTTTGGCCGATTTGTCCCGATATATTGGTGTAAATCTGATAAAGTGGCTAATTTCTCGTGGGTTAAAAATTGCCCAATTTTCTACAATTTACATTCTATGTGAACCGGTTCGGGTTTGGAGGCAAAAACCCTCTTTATTCCCTGCCTGATCCGCATCCACTAAAAAAACTATGCTATCCTATTCTATTTCACATCCACTCATTGTGTAACCCTAATTCTCTCCGCCTCCATTGTTCTCTCTCCCAAATCACTTACAAATTTCTCACTCGAAGACCATTTGTCGTATTTCATTAAATGTGCTTAGAATACATTTTAGGACATGATGTTGTATCTGCTCACCATCCAATATGACACTCCAATATGAAATTTGGCCGTCCGATATATTTCCGATAACCGATATTTAAAACCTTGAGATGGAAACAAGTTTTGTACTATTGATATAGATAGTTCGTTAATCATCTGTTTACATCCTTTATATCAGATTGAAAAACAGAAAGGCAATTTCCTTTTGTGTTGAATTCTGGCTTTCTGTTTTGGATGACTAGTTTTGTATGTTTGGCTAGCAAAATGTGGTTGCAATTCAAAATAGTTTTGGAAATGTTTGGTTGCGAGTTGCAAAACCACTTGAATGATCTTTGGCTACAAGTTGTTTAAGAGGGCTTCACTTGGAAGAGAAACATCCTAAAATTCCACATAAATAATTGATTGTAAGAAATTGTCTTAAATGTTGGATGGGAATAAAGAAAATGGAGGGAAGGGAACACTTCTTTGTTAAATACATTTGCATGAAAGAAAATGAAGTAAATACACATGATACAGTGATTAATAAGTTACTTTCTCAAATAAATCTCATGATGTTTCCTCTACAAGTTATTCATGGTTTACTTTGATGCATTCATCAAGTTGGTGTGCTCAAACTGATATTAACATTCTGATGTTTCATACTCGTTGTGGATGTTTTTTACATGCTTTGTTTATCTTAACTTCAGGTGTGACATAAAGTATGGCTCTGAGGAAGCGTAAACCTTTTGGGGATGCATCTTCTGTTAGTATGGGACCTTTAAATTTTTCAATGATGGTGCCTGAGAAGGTCAATTCAGTGAATCCAGATGTGAGGAAGTTTACTTTCTAATCATGCATTTTCTGTCAGCGGGGCCATGCAAGAGAACTTCTGAACACTTCTGGAATGAACTTCTGGAGCATCAACTATTGCCCAGAAGATACCATGCTTGGTATTCAAGGACTGGTACTCATAGTGCCAATGAAGATGATGATGGCATATCCTTCCCTTTATGTTATGTTGACTTAGTCAAGAGGTATTTTACTAGATGTTGTTGTCGTAAGTTCAAAAAATTTGTTTCTATTTTGAATAATCAAATAGTAAACAGGCTCTAGTAATTTCATTAGGATGCTGTGCAACTGTAGAATATTTCCCTACCAAAAATTCCATGCCAGCACACTTGCATGTTTATAGAGGTTCAGTAGATACAAACCAAATTTATTTACCTCAAAAAAGATATGTCAGATTAAGTACATTGAGTTCCATACTGGAATAAACTTGTTTTTTTATTATGTATCGTCCTTTACTCAAAGATTTTTTGATCAAATGATGAAAGGATACCTAGCTTCTACCATTTCTTCAACTATTTAGCAACTTCTAAAATGGACTTTTCGTTGCCAATTTAAGGTCCAAGTTAGCTTCTTTGCTTCACTGTTTTGACCAAGGTCCAAGGACAAGACCCGCCATAATTAATCTCCAGTTAGAAAAGATGATTTAGAAGATCCTAGACGACATCTGGAAGAAGCACATGAGAAGCCCTGAAACCAACATCACTTGCCCAACAAAATTTCAGAATGCCCTTTGTAATGAGGATCCTCAGGCAAGCTGAATCCACCACTCTTTGCAGTGTCAAGTCAGGTGGTCTAACCGGAGTGTTGTGTGGAGAACTGAATTATCGATTTTAGCTCCCATTTTACAGTGCAATTCAATCACTATAATTTTCAGTCAGCTGAACTGTTACTTTGACTGACAGAAATGACCTTCCCTCTTATTCCTGAAGGGATGTAAGCTTGATTTTTGAGCTGTAACAGGAATTTGCTTGGAATAATGATTTTAAGGCACTTCTTTTTAAAATTCTAGGCTGTTCTAGGTGCTTGAGGAAATGTCTGCCACCTAGAGCTGTCCGGGTCAATGCGTAGGCTGCCTCGACCTGCCTCGTCTAACTGAAGTGATCAGCAGTAGGGGTGGAATGGAACTGACCCAAATCAAATTGAATAGAAAGATATTTAGATTCAAATTTGGTTCAGTTGGTGCTATTCAAATTCGTTGTATTTTGAACGGTAGATATTTCCTGTATTCAAACTAGATTGATGTAGATATTTATGTATTTAGTAAATATTTGTGAATGTTTATTTAGTGATGGACCTGATGGTGCACTGGATTGTATTCAGCTGAGGAAGAGGGCTTGGATGAAGACATCGGGAGAGAGATTGATTGGCTGAGGGGTCAATATCTGTGAATTAAAAAAATTACGGATTCAGATATGTACAGATGATGCCTGAATCTGTCCGTATGTATACTTAAATCTGTCCTTGTCCAAATAGTTGTTGTTCTTTGGTATGTGACTGATCAATCTATTTGATGCGAGGATAGTGTCTGACAATCTGTTACATAAATCAAACATACATACTATATTGTCCCAAATTGCAGAACATGAATCTAGAAATTAAAAATAGATGGATTCGGGTATTCCCTCATGATGCCTCTATCTGTCCATGTGCATACTTAAGTCTTACTTTATAATTTCTCCTAATAGTTTGTGTTCTTTTGGTATTTGACAAATCAATATGTTTGTTACGATGAGAGTGTCCATGAGATCTGTCAAAACATATAATTATCTAGTTCTGAATTGAAGAATATGGTTCTAGGAACATAATGTTCTAGCGATACAACTTCTAGAATGTTAGTTAACTTGTTGTTTAGTTGATTAACTCATAACATTCTTTTATTACCGTGGCTATTTAGCACTTGGGTATCAGTTGTATTCTGCTCATGATCTACTCGTCTTTCGAATGGTTGTGGCTTCTGACACTGTGATTGCACTGCAGCCAAAATGTTTCAGCTCCAAATTTAGTTTTTCTTATCATCTTTGTAGGTACCCTCACATTGCCACAGATCATTTGGTAAAGCTTCTTAAGCAATTGATTGTAAGCTGCTCTACGCAATGGCATGATATTGGAGGAACCTTTCCAAATGCAGCTGATGTTCCAACTATTCTAGGATCTGGCTCCTCCTCTCTTCTTGCATGTATGTGATGTGTTTTATTTTTACTTTTCTGTCAGTTACAAAAATTATTTCTCATTATAGTTTGTTTTAGTGGTCAATCTCTCTTCTTGTATGCTGTGTATTTTGATAATACTCTGTACTTCCAGCTGATAGAGATAGGGAAGAGAAGAGAGCTGATCCTTTGCCTCGTTACCTGCGTTGGCCTCATATGCAGGCCGATCAGGTTCGTGGATTAAGGTTAAGGGAAATAGGAGGTGGTTTTACGAAACACCACCGTGCTACATCCATCCATGCAGCATGTTATGCAATTGCTAAACCATCAACACTGGTGCAGAAGATGCAAGTTATTAAGAAAACCAGGGGACATCAGAATGCTGTCTATTGTGGTATAACTCAAGTCCTCTTTAATTCATGTTTTGTAGCCTATGATGTTCTTTTAGCTTATGATTATTTTCCTCTGCAACAACCAAATGTGTGCCTTTAAGTGTCTTTTTTAGCTCATAAATGCATGTGCCATTTATATCAGCTCATTGAGCATAGAATTGTCCTTGTTGATTGGATAAGGATTCCTTGAGCTTTGTTGGAATATAAAAATATAATCCTCAACTCTCTCCACGACTTTGGAGCTATGGTGCAATAGTTAGAGGGGCTTTAAGATGGTATCAGAGAAAAAATTAGGCTTAAATCCCTCCGATCATGAATTTTAAGCAAATTTTCTGAAAATGGACACCGTTGCATGAGTCCAGGTTTCGGCCCATAAAATGGGTGCTCAACCTGCGGGGACATGTTGAAAACTTGAAATATAAAAATATAGCCCTCACCTCTCACCACAACTTCAAAGTTATGGTGTAATGGTTAAAGGGACTTTAAGAAGCTCACTAAGGTCTTTACTGTTTCACTGCTTTCTAACCCCTGGTTTGTGTTTATACCTGCAATCTTGATCTTATTTAGATCATACTTGTGATAGAAACCTATTGGCTGTATGATTTATAAAATTGCTAGGAAGATCAGTTGTCATGGACGTGTTACAACCTATGAGGATAACAGTGACAATTCAGTTCTGAACTTTCAGCTTTAGACTGATTCTGCTTTCAGATGCTTTAATAGATCGCCACCTTGACTTTTGTTAGTTGTTTACAGAGTTATGATCGTGTTTCTTTTTTGCAAGATAGGTTCTATATTGTTCATATTAATCTGTGCTTCAGTAGATGTTCTTGTTGGTTGATTATTTTGCTCGTCTTTGAATAAGTTGATGTTCATCTTCTAATGCTGAAATAAATTTAAAGATGAAGATTGTCTATTTGCTTCAATTAATTAGAAAACTTAAAGAAAGCCAGTAATGTTTTAGTTTATGGTCCAGTGTTGGTTACAAGGAGCCAAGTCGTATTTTGAGTCTCATCTCTTATGTGTATGTTGCGCACCTGCACAATATCGACATACTTCAGCATCAAATCTGATATTGTTTTGCATGTTGACTATAATTATTTAAAATAAATAGCTGATATAGGAAGTTTTAAAATGCTACGCTGATAATAGGTATTTAAATCTTATTTATTTGCATGCCCCTGGTTTTTTTGTTTATCGTCTGTTCTGGCATATTTTTGCATCTTTATGAAGAGGCTTTTGAAGATAAGTAAGAAAGTCAACATAAGGTTCAGATGCATATCAGGTTTAAACTAGAACAAGCGAAATCAAGTGAAAAATCACTGCATAAGAGGAGCAGTCGTGTTAGAGGAGTGCTGGTGTTGCATATGCCTGGAATTATGGCATTGTGACGATTCACGAACCTAATAAATGTTTGGATAAATCGACGGCTCTTAATCCAATCTGCCATGATATTCTTATAATTCTGTATTTCATTTTGCTGGTTACCGTTTACCTTCTTGCTTCCTATATTAAAGCTTGTACTTTCATTGTTTTGAGAATAGTTTTAAATTGTGTTCTAGGGTTTCTATTTTATGATTTTTTGGTTGCTCTTTTTGTAGCTATATTTGATCGGTCAGGACGGTATGTGATCACTGGTTCTGATGATCGCCTTGTGAAAATATGGTCGATGGAAACTGCATTTTGTTTGGCCAGCTGCCGGGGGCATGAAGTGAGTCATGTTCATTGCTTTCACCCATTTTCTGTACCTTTTTTTGGGTCAATATTTACTTAAGGATGATATTTTCCTTCTTGATGAAATTTAAGGGTGATATCACTGACTTGGCTGTGAGTTCTAACAATGCCTTGGTGGCATCTGCTTCAAATGACTTCATCATTAGAGTTGTAAGTTGATTGCCTCTGTTTATTCATATTGCTGGTCCTATCATCAGATCCATCTTTTTCGCTTTATGTTTTTAATGGTTGGTCTTCTGATCTTCTCAATGCAGTGGCGTTTACCTGATGGACTCCCAATTTCAGTTTTGAGGGGACATTCTGGAGCTGTTACTGCTATTGCCTTCAGTCCACGATCCGTTTACCAGCTTTTATCGTGAGTGGTCTTTAATTAAAAATCTCCTATAGTTTCTCTCTTATTTGTTGTTTTTTTTAGCTCAAGCTGGCTACTTTTGGCTGATACTTCACATTATCCATATTCAATTAACCTAAGCTCAACTAGACAACACATTTTGTTAAAAGAAAACTCTGCTTAGACAAATTCATTGTACGTGGTCCAGTTGGATAACCAATATTTACATAGCTTCCAAATTCCATAATCTAGCTTCCATCACTGTGTTATTTTTTATCAATGCCATCTTCTTTATGGTAGTGCGTATTATTGAGGAAACCTTTATTTTCGCATGCTTTTGCAGGTGTCATTTGACAAATAATCTTCAATAGTACCTCCTTTTATGTAATCGACTCAAAAACTATACCACTAGCCGTTAGTAATATGAATCGTAGATTTATCAAACAACTTTGAATTTTCTTTGTTTATAGTAGAAGTTTGGGTTATAACTATTCACTATTAACTCATTTAAATCTGAGTTGGGGATTGCTCAAACTGCGTTTAGGCCTGTAATGTGATAAAGGATAATGGCAATGTTTGAAAATTTATTATGGATAATGTGATAAAGGATAATGGCAAATTTATAGTAGAAGTCCAGTGCCATTTGTACTCTTTCATGGTAGGCTTGTAATGTAATAAAGGATAATGGCAATGTTTGAAATTTTATTATGGATATGATTACCTTTTTTTTCTGTCATTCTTGCATTGATATCAAAAATCTATGCAAATCTGTTTCATATCAGAGTTAACTATCATATTTCGTAAACTGCATGCTCCATTGAGAAGATCCCTGTATTTTGGTTGTTTATGCTGTATATGATGCTCAGATCCTCTGATGATGGAACCTGTCGGATATGGGATGCTAGGTATTCGCAACTCAGCCCTCGAATATATGTCCCAAAGCCTCTAGATAGTTTAGCAGGTTAGTTAAATGCCTCCAGACAGTTGCTTTATGGGTGTCTTCTGATAAGGTCTAATGTTGGTAACAATAAAACTTGCCACAGGAAGTTCTGATCCTTCATCAAGTGTTGGTCAACAAAGTCATCAGATATTATGCTGTGCTTACAATGCTAATGGAACTGTATTTGTCACTGGTAGCTCTGACACATACGCAAGGGTATATCAGTATTGTTATAAATTTTCTTAATGACATATGCTTTCAATAAATCCTGAAATATATCATTAAGATGAATCCAAACTATTAAAGTGTTCTCCATACTTCAGTAACTAACTAGTTGATTTCAGGTATGGAATGCTTGTAAAAGCAACCCAGATGACTCTGAGCAACCAAATTATGAGATGGATCTTTTATCTGGCCATGAAAATGATGTCAATTATGCACAATTCAGGTTAGCTGGGTGCAGTTAGAAAGTGCGTTTTATCTGCATGTTAGATGCATGTTAATGCTGTTGTTTTTCTATTTCAGTGGCTGTGCAGTGGCGTCTAGAACTACAACTGATACTTTTAAGGACGATAATGTTTCAAAGTTCAAAAATTCTTGGTTTGTGCTGAGTTTGTTGCTTACCTAATTTATTTACTTTATGGGATTTTTTTTCGATATTAGTAACTCTTCAATTTTATGAAATTAGTCTTGCTATTAGGTCCCCCAGTTTTCATATCTTGATATAGCTGTTGTTGATTGGAGGGATTAATTTGAAACAACTTCTAATAACTGCGGAGCCTAATAGCAATTTCAATGATATGAGGGATTACCTTTAAAAATGTTAATGATTTAATGTTTTGATATCGAAAAATATCCTTACTTTATTCTCATTTTTTTCCAGATATCGTTTGTCAGCTCATTTCATGCTAATCCATGTTATGTTTTTTCTAGGTTCACTCATGACAACATAGTTACATGTTCTCGCGATGGAAGCGCTATTATTTGGATCCCAAGATCCCGTCGATCCCATGTGAGCTCAATTATTAACTTTCAATCGTTAAACTTTTCCAGTCTTGGTTAATTGGTCTGAATCCTTCTGAGAAATGACCTTACGTTGAACATGTTTGGCTCGTTTTCTAATTTGTTGAGATGTCTGGTTCTCTAAAACTTTATTGATTCTGTGAGAACACAGCTATCGTTAAATAATGATCATCTCAGAGAGTGGTGAGGCTTTATTACTGTAATAAGGCCTAGCTAGGATGTAAAGCCCAGTAGGACTTAGCCTAAATGTTGCATGTGACTGTAAATATGTATACATGTATAGTTTAATATGGATTCCTGGACTAGGCGTCTGATATGTTCTGATTGTGTATTCCTACTAACCAGTTGGCTGCTACCAGCATTCTGTGTATCACAGTTCTTATACATGTTTCGATTGTTTATTCCTCTGGCTTCTGCATATGCTGATAATATTATTTGATCTTCCTAATATAATTGGTCAAATAGCTTTGAACATGTCTTTTTTATTGATGTCAAGATAAACATGTGGATATTATGATAATCTCTGAAGAAAACTCTGCTTCCAAGTGTCTGGAGAGTGGTGAAGGGAAAAAAAAAAGTTCGAGAAACATTTGTTTTGATAACATGCCTTCTGTTGTTAGATGTGATGTTTCCTAATGCTGAAGATCACACTTTATTTTAGGATTTTCTATTCTTTGCTAAGATGTGTCTTATTTCAGGGGAAGGTTGGCCGTTGGACGCGTGCATATCATCTCAAGGTTCCACCACCTCCTATGCCTCCCCAACCTCCTCGTGGAGGTCCACGACAAAGATTTCAGCCCACTCCTAGAGGTGTTAATATGGTAGTTTGGAGCTTGGATAACCGCTTTGTGCTTGCTGCTATCATGGGTAAGTAAGATTTTTTTTTCTTTTTGTTACATTTTGTACTTCTACATTGTCTGCCGGCAAATTGTCTTTGGATACTTTTTACTTCCCTGAGCTCATTGCTGCATGTTTCACTTTTAAGAGCAAAACATTTTCAAGATATTTCTCATGTAAGAATCATTCAGCAGTATGTTAGAATTGCTATATTATTCTGATAATTGCTTAACCTTAGCTTAGAAGAAGCACATATCAAGTTGGCCACGGAAAATTAGAAAACCTGCTTGGGATCCGTGAGTTCTCAGTTCCTTGTGACAGACCAAGCAACTCTGTCTACACCCGCAAGGTATTGGGCTTTTTTCCCGGTCACTCTTTTGCCTTCAAATGCAAGTGCAGGTGGACCTCTCCTTGTGCATGGTAGTTTGAGTTTCCTGTGAACTGGTCGATGTCTGTTATAGTTTAAGCTCTTGGCTTTGAATTTGGGATCATGCGGACTGATATCTGGCTTCTTCTTGGGCCCAGTGGCAGGTTGAAAAACTTGGAAACACAGTTTTGGTGGGAATATTAAACCACTATACCTATATTAAATAGATGACAGACACAAATTTGGTACCTCCACATCTTTTGGCACCTGGCAGAATATGATATGAAAATTTATACTACCTCAAGTCTCCTACTGTTGAGTTCTGGCTGTGTTTTTTTCGTGGGGTTGAAATTGCTGCCCTTAAATCCGTTGTACAGGGTGGTATTTGGTAGCTTTACTTACTAATGCATTACTCATGTAATGTTGGCTATATCTATCCCTTTTTTTCCGTCTTGTTTATTTTTGTTTCATTATTGTGTTATTTCCTATTCCTGGTGTCTATCAGTATTATTCTTTTTCCAGTAAGCTTTTAATATGCCTATCGATTATTCCTTTTTAGATTATTAATTTACATTTCCTTCCTGTAGATTGCAGAATATGTGTTTGGAATGCTTCTGATGGGAGTTTAGTCCATTCATTGACTGGGCATAGTGAATCAGTAAGCCTTTCAGTATTATATGTTTAACTTTCATCAAATTTCTTGTGCCATTAAATTTCTATCATGCAATAAATATGTACTCTGGACACTTTTTGGTCATTCAGGTTTAGGCATATGCAGACATGCTGGACATATATGTAGAACATTGATAATTTAAGCATTGTTTTTGTTGACATATTAGTATTAGTTAGGGACTTATTTGAAAGTTGTGTAGGGGCCTATATAAAGCCCCATAAGATCTCATAATGAATTAGGGTTTCATATTCTTTATGGTATCAGAGCCTCCACCAAAACCCTAGCCGCCTCCACCCCCTACGCACCCCGGCTGCCCCCTCTCTCGGCCACCTCCCCACCCTCGCGAAAACTCTCCAGAGCCGTCCTCCTCTTCCTTCGAGCCGCTGTCAACTCGCACTGCCCATCCTCCGCTGTAATCCCTGAACCCTAGAAACCCCCCTGCCGCTACCCAGAAACCCCCCTGCCGCTGCGCCTTCACCCCCCTGCCAGTCCAGAACCCGCCGCCTCCTGCCCTGTCCTAGAACCTCACACGATCAGTCCCCTCCCCACGAACCAGCCTCCTGCCCTGTCCTCTCAGGCCGAACCAACCGCCCCCCATCTCTGTCCTGCAGACCGCCGCCATCCTCTAACCCCACCCTGCAGACCCCTACAGTCGAACACTGAGACGCCCCCCACCCTTCCCGAAAACCCCTGCAGACCCCCCTCTTCTGGAAAGCCCCTACAGACCCCCCCCCCTTCCCGGATCAGCCCCCCCACCCGTTGCCCCCGCCTCGGCTGTGCTAGCCGAACCTCGAGTTTGGCATGGGTTCCCTCGACTCAGTCCTCGAACTGATGACAGGAAGAGTATATATCTCACAGCGATGAGATATATCACTGTTTTTTGATTCTAGTTTCCTCTGAGAAACGAGAATTTATTAGAGATCTTACTCTTGTTGTGCAGCAGAAGTGCTGTCGAAATTTTCACTGCGCACAACAAGGGTTTGAAGAGAAAGGTGAACAGGTGTTGGATCTGAAGCTTGATCAAGCTTGATCGATGGAGGAGATTATCAAGAAGTTGAACCCTGCGGAGGTGTCAACTTTGATGAAGTTGATGAAGTTGTCGGCTGATGAAAGCGAGAAGTTGAACCCTGCGGAGGTGTCAACTTTGATGAAGTTGATGAAGTTGTCGGCTGATGAAAGCACGATAAGACCATCGAAGAAGTTGGAGCTTCCGACTATCAATCTGAAGCTTGATGGATCGAGTACCTACCTGAGTTGGTCACGACGGGTGAGATACACCCTTACAGGGAGGAACCTAGAGGGTTACTTGACCGGAGAGAAGACAGAACCGGATGAGGACTGGGGAGGACGAGATGAGTGGAAGTCCACTCATATGTTGGTGTACATCTGGCTTCTCAACTCGTTGGTCCCGACGATCGCCGCCACGGTGGATGGCATTGAGAAGGTGAAGGACGTCTGGGAGAAGTTGATGAGAACATATGATGGGGTGGGGAATAACCTGCGGGTGTTCCAGATTAAAGGAGAGATCGACGCCACAGTCCAGGGAGAGAGGACTGTACAAGAATATGCTATAGAGCTGGAGCGTCTGTGGCTGGACTATGATCATTTTTCCCCCCGGGCTAGCTGCTAGGACCCGGGATGTAAAGAGCGGGAGGCCTTTCTACAGGAGAGGACTATGGTGTTTCTCAAGGGATTGACATCAGAGTTCGCTCAGCGAATTGTATTACTGCTAGCTCAGCCAAAAATTCCCACGCTTGAGGAGGCTGTCTCTGCTATGATCCAGGAGGAGACTCGCATTCGGCTGCAGACGGGGACATGTGGACTTCCGATGGTGAAGTCAGCACTGGCAGCTTCTAGCAATACTGGATCTAGGGGAGAGACTCGACAGTGCTACAACTGTGGTGCGGTGGGTCATCTAAGGCATGCTTGCACCAAAGCACCCAAGGAAGGATATTCGGGTGGACGTGAACAATTCGGAGGTCGTGGTCGTGACCGTGAGGGTCGACGAGGTGGCAGAGGAGCAGGGAATCGGGCGAATCTGACTGTAGCAGAAGAAGACGAATCTGAGGTGGTCTTTACTGAGGAGGATCGTGCTCTCCTGGCGATACTCAGGAGGAAGCAGCAAGTAGCAGGGGATGGAGACTTGTGGAGTGGGACTCAGGAGGCATCCACTTCGTTCTTCGCCAGAGGCAATACTGTTACCTATGCTCATCCGACCAAAGGTACTGATGACATACATGCTCTTGCTTCTATGTTTTCCAATAGATCATCAGAATGGATAGTCGACTCCGGTGCGTCTCGGCATGTGACAGGTAATGCTAGTGAGTTCTCATCATATACTCACTTAGCATCACCTGATAGAATTCAAACAGTTGATGGTACATTTTAGCCGGTAGTTGGTAAGGATACAGTCGATTGTACTGGTTCTGTAACTTTATCCAATGTTTTGCATGCTCCTTCATTTTTAGTCAATCTTTTGTCCATTAGTTCTATCATCCTCCAACTAAAATGCATTGTTTCTTTTGATATTCCCAAGATGATCTTTCAGGAAAAGGTGACAGGACGGAGACTTGGGACTGGCACATGACGTAATGGACTGTGGTATCTGGATCGTGAAGGGCTGGATTCAGCATTGGTGTCAGTAGTAGAGGAAGCAGGAGTAGGATCTAATATGAGTACTGAGAATGAGTTAATGCTTCATCACCAGCGGTTGAGACACTCATCATTTGGTGTTTTAAGTAGATTGTATCCTTCTTTATTTGAGAAAGCAAATAAACAGAAACTTGTGTGTGATGCATGTGAGTTTGGAAAACTTACTAGAAGCTCTTATGTTAGTTCAGGTCATAGAAGTTCCCGTGTATTTAACTTGGTACATTCAGATGTTTGGGGGTCTTGTTCCACAAGTTCTATGAATGGATACAAGTATTTTGTTACATTTATTAATTGTTTCTCTCGTGTGACTTGGTTATACTTGATGAAGAATAAGAGTGAAGTGTTTGGGTGCTTCCAAAACTTTCATAGGAATGTTCAGACTCAATATGGAGCAGTGGTGAAGATATTGAGGTCGGATAATGGGACAGAGTATACCAACAGAGCGTTTGAAGAATATTTGTCAGCTCAGGGAATATATCACCAGACAACCTGTCCATACACACCAGCTCAGAATGGGGTAGCGGAAAGGAAGAACAAATATCTTTTAGAGGTTGCTAGAAGCATGATGATCTCTATGAATGTCCCAGAAACATTATGGGGGCAAGCAGTGTTGACCGCAACAGCGCTGATCAACAGAATGTCCTCGAGAGTGCTGGATTGGAAGTCTCCGTGTGAGACATTGAAGGGAGATAATTGTGGGATTCTTCCACTTAAAGTGTTTGGTTGTGTGTGCTTTGTGAAGGACAACGGGCCATCTGTCGGGAAACTTGCCCCTAGAGCTGTGAAGTGCATCTTTGTGGGACATTCTGCTATTCAGAAGGGATATGTTTGCTGGAGCCCGGTGGAGAAAAGGTTGTTTGTGAGCATGGACGTGCACTTCCGAGAACTCGAGCCATATTACACCCGGAAGGCAACGTCATTCGTTGGTAACTCGCCTAATACTGGAAGTATGAGGCGAGAGGAGGAGAATGGTGAGAGATTGGTAAATATGGAGAAATCAATGTTTGAGAATGGTGAGAGATCAGAAAAATCAATTTCTGTAACGATTCCTTGGGAATGAGACTTGGTTGAGGAGGAGCAAGAGAATGAAGAAGAAGAGGAGAATGAGACAAGAGGTGTTAGACCAACGGCTCAGGGGGAACTACTTACCTATAGTAGGAAGGGGAAACAAATTGCGGGAACAGTACCTACAGTGTCACTGGTGCCAAGTCCCTTGCCAACGCCTGCCCCGACTCCTAAGACACCTACATCACCACCAGATTCCTCTCAAGGTGATTTCATTCCTCTTCCTACTCATCCCACACCAATAACTGTACGGAGGACTACTCACAGTAATGCGGGAAATCCTCCCGATAGATATGGTCGGGATCTTGCTCAGTTTGTATCATATTTTAACATCCACCCTGCACATGGAGCATTCATTGTATCACTGGACTCTGTTACTATACCTAACAATTGGCAGGTTGCAAAGGACCAGAAATAAAAAGCTGCTATGCACGAAGAGCTAAGGGCCCTTGAGAAGAACCGCACTTGGGAGTTAGTAAAACTACCAAAAGGGAAGAGAGCAGTTGGATGCAAGTGAGTCTTCACTGTGAAGCAGAATCCAGATGGACAGGTTGAGCGCTACAAAGCTCGTCTGGTGGCGAAAGGATATAGTCAGACATATGACATCGACTACGATGAGACTTTTGCACCGGTGGCAAAGATGAACACTATTCGGACCTTAATCTCTCTGGCCGTAAATGGTGGATGGAAGCTACACCAACTAGATGTGAAAAACGTATTTTTTCATGGAGATCTAGTGGAGGAGGTATACATGGAGATACCACCAGGATTTGGTACAAATCAGACAGTGGGAAAGGTCTGCAGATTGAAAAAGTCTCTCCATGGGCTAAAACAGTCTCCTCGTGCTTGGTTTGACAGATTCAGGAGGGTTATGATAGGTATGGGGTACCAGCAGATCAGCGCCGACCATACCATGTTCTTTCGAAGAAGTGGAGGTCACATCACCTTGCTTGTAGTATATGTGGATGATATGATTATTACAGGGGATGATGAGAAGGAGATTGCCCAACTCAAAGTGAGACTGAGTAAGGAATTCGAGGTAAAAGATCTTGGCTTGCTTCGATACTTTCTTAGAATAGAGATAGCTCGAGGAGCGGAGGGGATCGCCCTATCCCAGAGAAAGTATGCACTGGATCTTCTCAAAGAAACAGGAATGTTAGGATGCAAACCTGCAACTACACCGATCGACCAGAAGTTTAAGCTGGGTGCTGAAGCTGGAGAACCAGTTGATCGTGACAGATACCAAAGGCTGGTGGTAGAGATGTTAAATGGGTGGGTATGAGTTTTAAATGGGCGGGCCATAAATGGGCGGGCATGTTTTGCTCATTTACCCATTTATGACCCATTTAACATTATTTAAATGGGCGGGTTTTTACCCGCCCATTTAATAAACGGGTTGCCCATTTGCCCATTTAACTATAGTGACTATATATGTATAATTTTTGTGGGGTGTTTTTTGTAAACTTTTAGGGGTTTTTTTGTAAACTATTGTGGGCTTTTTGCAAACTTTTTGGGAGCTTTTTGCAAACTTGTTGGGGCTTTTGATAAAATACTAACAAAGATAGGAATATAAACAAAGATAAACAAAGACAGACAAGTTCATGATTGAACCATTTACAAGTCTGGATAAAAGTACAGACCTCACACATTTGCAAAATTAACCTCAAATTTCCAAACCAAAAACCAAAAGATCAATAACAACAAAATTGCGAGTATATTTAAATGAATTAAGATAGAAAACACAAGGTATGTAAGGATCTGTATAAGATCAATAACTTGATATAAATGTCATCATAACTATCAGCAACACGATCACGATTAGTAAGGACAATCTACTTAATTACTTGATAAACTAGAAGAGTAGTAAGTTCGTCTATAAACAAAATAGTAGCACAACCATAGTCCACTTATTTCCCATTTTTTAAATGTTCAGGCATGAACATGATCATGACAGAAGAAAGAAAAGACCAGGAAACAAACATAACACTCAGTTGGACTCAATAGTAACATTAAAAGTACTGCAGCAAGCCTCATATGTACGTCTTCATAGCAAGGGTTAGAATCCGAAATCACCATAGAGACCTCAATATTTCTCCTGCATCAATCATCTATAGAATTAGTTAATTTTGTCACAAACGTATGATATTGTCATAATAATGAAACACTCGATAGCAAGATGCGATCTTTGGGAACCAGGGGACTAAAGATCAACTAAATACACAAAGAACTTATCAGATACGTAATCATATAACAAAATTATGGTTTTACAAGAACAGGAAACATGATAGTAAATACAAGAACCAGAGCCAAGAGACATGCGTGCATTGTTAATATGCTTGAACTTTGAGCAAAAGGCATGTGACACTCAATTCAAGTAGTTTGAAAATCTAACAGCAAAATGATTATATGACTTAATACAGCATAAAATAAGGCCGAACCTCGGTTGCCAAGTTCACCATCCAGTGATTCCTCATAAAAGAAGCTGAAAGGCCTTGCAGATAGTAATGATTTAGACAATAGCTCATAGGAAAACCACTCTTTTAAATTCTTCATCTTCAGTTAATCTGAAAAACAAAGCGAAAGTATAGAATTCAATACCCAGCAAATAAACGATAAGCAAAAGATTACTACATACAAGGAAAAACTTTTCAGGAAAAATCTACCGCAAAGTTTGATCCTTTTCTAATTCAGCAATACTATGGTCAAGGCATTCAGGTTAACAATATTAATATCTTACGACCAAAAAGAATAGAATTGAAGGATAGTGTCCATGATGAGGAATCAAAGAGCAGCAAACAAGAACACATCAAATGAGAAGGAAAATCCTTAGACAGAACAAGCTGCTAAACTAGAACAAATTATAACAGTTGGAATAAATTATATGGTGCAAGAAACATAAAAGTTAACATATTGTCACTGTATTTTGATCAAGAGAATATCAATTCTAACAGTTAGAATAAATTATATGGTGCAAAAAAAAATCAAGAGATAAAAAAGAAATTTCGCAAGAGGACTAGACTACAATGGGTGAAGATCCACACTGTATTTTGATCAAGGAATATCTTGTCACGTTTGTGGGTATTCTATAGCACAGGCAACATATTGCACAATACAATACATTCAAAATATCCGGAAGATAGAGGGAACAAGCAAACATAATGGATGTGCATGATAAAAATATTACGTCTAAAGACTAGAGATTGAAGAAGTATGAACTCGTATAAATGAACCTCGATCAAAATTGTTCGACGGTGGAAAATACATGAATGAACTCCATCTATCAGCACAAGCTCAAAAGTACTAATGGTAGTATAAGGATAATAGCCACCTCGGCTTATTGTAGCTACGATAAATCTCTAACCAAGCTACAGCCCAACAAATTTAGGGTCAAATTTGTGAACCCAAAAGTGACAGAAAACATATGACAAATAACAACCATGAACAATACATTAGGAAATTCTACATTCAATCCCTCAGATAATACATTAGGAAACAAAAATAGTTCAACTAAAGTTCTGATCCTCAGTCAATACATTTTGAACTTCTACACTACTGCCTAAAGGTGGATTTTACACAAGTTTAAATGCAGAATACAATAAAACATGAAGCAACAAAGAATGATCTGATTAAAATAAACATTCTATTTAGCCCTATTTTGTTCAGGTGTGCAACTTATATACCTGGCACTAATTCAAGAATTTAGAAGCAAATAGTTCAACTAAATTTCTCCCCTGGTAAATCCTAGAAGGGAATTTACCACGATGTTAGGTTAAGCTTTTAAAACGTTCCGGTTCACCGTTTTTATGACACTCTCAATGCTTAGGGGGTTTTCTTTAGATTTCAAAGTTCAATGGTTTTTGCGCAACTTAAACCCAAGCTCAGGAGAGTTTTCTGAAATCTATCCTAAGCAAAATGAAAGCTTACATGGATTCTCTAAACATTAAGGATAAAAGATCTCTAGATCCTAAAAAATATGTAGTTAACATAGTTTTTGCTTTCAGAGATATAATTACACACTTTTGGACTCCTAACTAATTAAAATAAGGCATAACCACTATCTGAGAAGAAAATCTAATTTTAGCATCTAAGCAGAGACTGACAAGCTCCCAAGGCAAGCCTCTTTTGGATCATGCATGCTAATTTCCATGTAACTGAAAGTAAATGAAAGTGGATAAAGTTTTAAAAACATGTGTTAAGCTGGCCTCAATTTCATGGCTTATCAAACAAAAACTCCATTGACAAATAGGTATGTTAATCATAATTTACATAGAAGATGCATAAGAGAAAACTAGCATTACCTGGGCAGCATATGTCCGCTGGAATGGACTCTTATCTGCATTAAGCTGCACAAACAAAAATATGAGATCAAAACTCTATTAAAGGCTAAAGAACAATCATAGTTGAAAGTTTAAAGTAAGTTCACTGGAACAGCCCTTGATGCACTATAAAATCAGCCCATTGAGAAATATAGCTTACCCTCATATAATTAATAAAAACAGAAACATGGAACGATTCAAAGACAAAAATACTCATAGTAGAACCAATACATTGACAAGTTCAGACTTTTGGAATTATTAGATCTATAACGTAAGTTCAAACACCAGTGGGTTCCCAATCTAATCATCAATAAAGCTAAAAACCCTAAATCTAATTCAAATCTATACCCTATCAAACAAATAATAGAAACAGAACTGGGTAGAAAACTATGGATCAAACTCAAAATCAGTAAAAATTTAAGAGCAGATCTAGGGTTAGGGTTTCATCGAGATTACATCTTTGAACTGCAGGAGGTTGAGGGCCTAGATCCGAGAGGCGATTGAGGGCCTTGAGGCGGTTGAGGTAGCGGAGGAGGCGCGATTGGCGTCGGAAGCTCTGGGTTCGAGAGGCGGTTGAGGGCCTTGAGGCGGTGGGGGAGGAGGCGGAGGCGGCTCTGGTTGGAGATGCGGTTGAGGCGACTGGCGACGGAGGAGGAGGCGGAGGAGGCGACGGAGGAGGAGGCGAAGGAGGAGGGATTGGAGGAGGGATTGAGGCGGCGGAATAAGGGCGGAGGAGGAGGCGGAGGAGGGATTAACCGGCGAC